AACCCAAACCCAAACCCAAACCCAGATTATTTAAAATAATCTAATTATATATGAATAATCATTTTTAATTTATTCTTAAAAGATTGTTTTATGTTGAATAAATTATAAAGCAATGGGGATGTAAAATTGAGAGAAAAAGCAATATAATTTTGAAAAAATACCCATTTAAGCTTAATAATTACATATTTAGTATTTAGAAATAAATAATTTAAAAAATTTATAATTAATAAATGGAAAAGATTACAATTTTACTATTATCTTAATTGAAATTTTATGTAATGATGAAAATATATTGAGCAGAAAAAGTTAACTTGACCACTTTAAAAAAAATAATAGTGAAAAAATATTGATATATTTGATATTTATTAATAATAATAAAATGTCATTTTCATTTTTTATTGCAGTCTAATTGGTTTTCCATCAGGCGAGAAACAAACTGATAAGACAATATCAGTATGGCCATCTAATTTGGTTTTTTATTATCCTGTTTTAACATCCCAAAGACGAATAGAGTTATCTCCTTTTTACATAACAAAAATTGCTTCCACCAACAGAAGCTTATGTGTTTCCATCAGGAGAGAAACAGACTGACCAAACTCTACCACTATGACCATCTAATTTGGCTTTTTATTATCCTGTTTTGACATCCCATCGACAGGTTGACTTATCACTGCTACCAGAAGCTAATATATTTCCATCAGGCGAGAAACAAACTGATAAGACCATACTTGTATGACCATTCAATTAATTTAACTCAGGGATTCTCAAGTTCTTCCATTAACAATTAAATAGTAATGCTCCATTAAGATTAATTCCATTTATGTTGACATTATTAAATTAAGATCCACTAAAATTATACCTCACAAAATTCGCTCCTACTAACGAAGTATTTTTGATCTTAATATTCTCAAAATTTATGTTATTTAGGTTCACTTACATTTAAACTAATAATTTTAATGAATTAGACCCACATTATATCAAAGTTTAATCAATGGATGTGAGATGAACTAAAAATTAGAGAAATTCTACCATCCTTCTATTTTCTTTTATGCTTTTAATAATATGTAATGTAGATTGTTCATTTTCTTCAGAGGAAATGTCTTTGTTGTTGAAGTCATCATCTTTTAATTTTTTTAACATCTGTCATAAATATTATAAAAGGTCTAAAATGAGTGGAATTAAAATAAGATTTCATGAATTTTAGTTCTTTAATATATATTTTACATTTAATAGACACCTTGATGATGCTTAGATGAAAATTATTTAAAATGATAAAAAGATTATTATTATTTTTTAATTGAAAGGGAATGTTAATGATTGATTATTTAATTTCCTAAGAGTACTATTCTAATTATCAATGCCATCAAATAAAGCTGTAAGAAATTAAAAATTTTAATGATTTGAAGGAGTGTTAGTAACGAAATTTTAATCTATAGTAAAAATTTAATAAAACTAAATGATAATATTTTTAAGTATTTTTTTATTTCATTTCAACTATCCATTATAGAATTTTAGTTTCCCATCAACTTCAAGGAAGTTTTCTTTTTTTTTTGTAAATGTATTTCATATTTGATTTTACAGATTTTGAGCAATTCTGATTAATTATAAAGAAGATTTATAGGTTAATTTATATATAAGATAATGAAAATTTAATAAGTTTAATGAAAAACCTATTTTAAAATTGAATTAATTAATGAGGTTATTCAATTAAATTACATTTCAATATGAAATAAATACAATTAAAGTATAATTATAATAATAATCAATTGGCTAATGCTTAATATCGCAGTAGTCTTTGTTTTTTGTTGAAATCATTTATATATTAAAATATTAATCAATTTTAACATTTAACATGTTGATTATCTAGAGAATCTTGGCTAGCGTTTGAAGCCTTGGAAATCAATACATATCTAGAAATTTTGCCAATTCATACTAACTTAAAGTAGTACATCAAATGTAATTTCTTAATTGGGATAAATTGATATCACACAGTATATTAGCAAGCGCAACTCTATAAGATCTCCAATATTCTCATTATTTCAAATACCTTTTCTGACAAATTTATAATTTTTGAGTGCATGAAAATAATTGCATGTATAGCAACTATCAAAATAATAAATATTATCATCATAATATTCCTCATAACCTAAAGCTTTACAGATAGATAAACAATTAATATTTATTATATATTCACCTTATGATTTACTATTAGCCATTGATATTTGATTATACACAATATTGCTCATAATTAGGATTTACAACTACAGCTACAACATCCATCATATTAAATATTATTTCTATTATCAAATTCCTCTATAAAATAATTGAACTCCAAAATATCTGGGCAAAGTAAGGTTGTTGGTTACTTGAATTTCAAACAATATTTGGAAAATTAACAACAAAAATAAAAAAATGCTGATTATTTATAAATTATTAATATTTAACAAATATATATACCTAATAATATAAAATTCCGATTTTGACAATTAATATATTAAATAATAATATATAAAAATAATTAATAGTATTATCTATAAGACATTTTAATTAAAATGTAAACTAAGTATTAAAATTTTATTTTGGATATAATAGAATATGATCAAACAATCATTAATTTGAAGCATACCTTATTTATATATTAAATTTTTCAAATAATTTTTGTCATTCAAATTAGTATTAATATTTCTATTAATTATATATTTTCTTGGACTATTCTTTTTTAGATTTACAACTAAGAATCTATTTTGGCATTTTATTTTTTTTTATTGTGCAAAATTTATTTAGACATGAAAAAATTGATACTTAATTTCCTATTATTTTTATTTGTGAATTTTTGTAATTTCTCAGATTTAGTGCACCAAGAAATTCTATTGAATTAATTTTAAAAAATTTCAAATTTATTAAATAAAATGATATCTATAAGCAAGTCTTTCTTTCATCTAAATGTCCTTTTATTATAATTATTATTACTTAGTGCTATTTGTTTTTTAAACTCTTTTTATGAAGAAGTTAATAATAAGTAGATTTTATTCAAAAATACAAATTGCAAATGTAATGATTAAAAAACTGTACCTTTATAAGCATTCGATCCCAGTAAAGGAATGAGTTAAGTAATTCTATAATAAATAAATTAAGTATGTAATAAAGTTCAGAACATAATTGACACTAAATTACCTCGCTTTTAAATCTATACTCATCAAAAAAAAAAGGTCACTTCCAAACTAGATCTGCTTTAACTATATATTGATATGTATGGTTATCAAACTATTGATGATCATGAATGTTTTATATTGTAGCAATATCTTCCTTTTTAAGACTATTAGTACCTACTTCCTTGGGTAAATCATTATAATAGTGTCTGGAATAAAATAATAAGTTGATTGACAAATCCTTCTTTAAAAACGTTAATCATTCTCAAGAATAAGTTAGTCTGCAAATAAAGCATAAGCTTTTAATTCTCAAAATTTACGTTCCTTCTTTTTGAAAGTCAAGTTAAATTAGAAATTAAAAATCAAAATTATGAAAATATAAAATAAAAAAAAATATAATTTATGGAGTACGACAAAGTCAGTCTTTACTAATGAAGCCTATTTAATTAGAAATGCTTAGCTAATTTTAGATAGATGTTACAAACTTTTAAGACTTGCTCAAGTCAAGGAAAGGAATAATATTTAACTTGCTATAATGACATAATTTTGAGTTCTAATAATTCATGTGATTCATAGAAGGATCAAACAGTTTAAAGTTCCTTTAAATTCCAGATGGATGTAAAGATAAATGTGATAATAACAAAGATTATAATGAAGATTTTGTATTTATTGAAGATGTACGTTATCATAATTATTAGTATTATCTTTATTTAATATCAACTTGAGGATAAATGCCTAAAATGTACTAGTACATAAAGTTATTTAATTTGCTAACCTAAAAATATTATTTTGGGTAATCTCTGGATTTATGTTCAGAATACACAAAAATATATGGAAATAATTACTAAAGCATAGTTAATATTATACTAAAAAATAACTATTTAAGGGTTAACAATTAGTAAAAGAGTTTAGGATCTATCAATAACAAAAAGCTCTACGGATACAATATTTTAATTTATTTCATCATATAACACATTTAATTTCTAAAAAAAGGATGGTATCTATTATAGCTATTTTTCAAATAAAAGAATATTTGGAGGACCATTAGTATAGGTTAATGCTGAAGTTAAATTTACAAAAAAAATCGGACATAAGAGTAATTTATCACAATATTTTTTGAAAAGTTTTATGGGATATTTAATTAAATAACGATATACTTACATTTAAATTGAATGATTCATAATTAGAAACCATATTTTTAAATGAAAATTATTCAGGATATAATTCAAATATATAGGATCAAATATGGTCTTATAACTATAAACTCAATATATCAAGTGGATAAATCTATCATTATTAAATATAACCAAATAAGTTATTAATTATGGAGATTAAAAATTAAATAATCATGAACTTGCATTTTTTTGTGGAATTTAGAATATGGATGTAGTTAAAATTTTAAATTTTGAACCTGATTATTACTTTGACTATTATAATTGTATTATGATAGAAATCCTTGCATTCTAATTTGTGGTGATAAAATAATTGTTGGAGAAGAATGTGATGATGGTAATAATGATCCTTTTGATGGATATTTAAATTGTAAATATTAATGTGAAGAGCATTCTGATAATTGTATAAATATTACTTTTTAAGCAAAAATCAATATATAGACAGAGTTCTTATAAAATAAAAATAAGTGAATATAAATTGGCTTACGATCTAGATGTTATTTCATTATCTTGTAAATTTAAATTTTGTATATGCATAAAAACTCTATGCTTATAATGTAATAATGATACAACAATTTATCTGAGATTTTTTGTGGAGATTTTATCAATTAAGGTAATGAATTATGTGATGATGGTAACTTAGATAACTACGATGGTTTGTTCTAATTGTGAATGATTTAATATAAAAACCTTGACATATAATAGAATATCTAAGAATATCTTTTTCTGTCTGTCACTATGATAAATGCTTAAAATGTAATGAAGGATTTCTATTAATGGTGATCTTTTTATTTTAATATGTGGGGATGCTTTAATTAATCCAATAGTAGAAGAATGTGATGTTTAAAGTGGAGATGGATACATCAATTATAAAAAATAAAATGTTTATGTTTGTGGTAAATAACACTGTTCAACCGGTAAGATATGTGATAAAGAATGTGCTTAATGCTTAAGTTTAGATCTGATCAATTTTATTTTTAAATCATACATTGATGGGTATTACAATATAGAAGATAAATGCATATTATGTGATTCAAATTTTATTAGATTCAAATTGTCATCGAATTTATGTACATCCTGTTATAGATCTGATTGTGATCAATTCCTGGTCTTTTTGCAGATAAAAAAACTAAGTATTGTAATTCCATTTTTTGTGATGGAATTGTAATTGAACCACATGGGTAGTGGGATGATCATAAACAAAATAATTGAGATGGGTGTAATTCTTAATTTAATTTAGAATTTTCAGATAATGAAATTAATCGAATGAAGGATATCAATCCTTAACGAATAATACTTATGATTTGAAACTAAAAACTAAATATTAATTTAAAATTTTAAGCAATACTACTTTCTAAAAATTTTAGAAGTGTTTAATATGATATCACATCAACAGAGCATATTGTTTTAAATAACAATGAAAATCATAATAGGAATATATATAAAGTGCTCAAGACTATTTTAGTTTTATAATTTTAATATTATACCTATATCTATGGTTTAAAAACATTTTAATTATTTATGGGCAGTTCTATAAATATTAAGTTGGATCAATAATTACTATTTTTTAATGTTATTATCTTTTCAATGTGGAATTATTCTTCTTAAGTAGTGATTTGTCAAATCTCATTGGTTTTCCAACTTATTAAGGATTGAATCAACCTAATTGTAATTATTACTTTGAAGCTCCTAAAAAATTCAAAGATAAAGTAATTGATCCATTATTATTTAACAACATATAAGTTCCATTTATATTTTTACTATCTTCTATCATCATGTTCCTAATAAACTATCTACTTTCTTTTCTCTACTTAATGATGCCTTGAAAATAAAAATATCTATAAAAAAGGACAAATATTTAAGCATTTTTTTAATATATCAATAAAAAAATAAACTTCAATCAATAAATAACAATATATAATCAAAATTTTAAATATATTACTAATCTTTTAAAATAGAATTCAGTACATCTCTTAAATTAATTTAAATAAAAAATTTGATTATGTGTATTGAATATTAAGGTTGGAAAAAAGTAAATTGTTATTTTGCATAATCATTTAATTAAACATGCCTTCAAAACCTTTTTAAAATCTTAGAACTCCCTTTGGATTAGCAATTTTACTTTAATCATCATATTCAAACAATAATTTAAAAATCACATTAGGTCTAAATCAATTTTTTGCAATGTATTTCCATCAGGAGAGAAACAGACTGAGTAGACAACTCCTCTATGACCATCTAATTTTGCTTTTTATATCCTGTTTTAACATTCCATAGACGGATAGACTAATCAATACTACCTGATGCTAATGTATTTCCATCAGGAGAGAAACAGACTGAGAATACATAATCACTATGACCATTTAATTTAGCTTTTTTTTATCCTGTTTTAGCATTCCATAGACGGATAGAGTTATCTCTACTACCAGAAGCTAATGTATTTCCATCAAGAGAGAAACAGACTGACATTACCCAATGCTCATGACCATCTAATTTGGCTTTTTATTATCCTGTTTTGACATCCCATAGACGGATAGACTTATCATCACTACCAGAAGCTAATGTATTTCCATCAGGAGAGAAACAGACTGAGTAGACAGTACTAGTATGACCATCTAATTTGGCTTTTTATTATCCTGTTTTGACATCCCATAGACGGATAGACTTATCATTACTACCAGAAGCTAATGTATTTCCATCAGGAGAGAAACAGACTGAGTAGACAGTACTAGTATGACCATCTAATTTGGCTTTTTATTATCCTGTTTTGACATCCCATAGACGGATAGACTTATCATTACTACCAGAAGCTAATGTATTTCCATCAGGAGAGAAACAGACTGAGTAGACAGTACTAGTATGACCATCTAATTTGGCTTTTTATTATCCTGTTTTGACATCCCATAGACGGATAGACTTATCATTACTACCAGAAGCTAATGTATTTCCATCAGGAGAGAAACAGACTGAGTAGACAGTACTAGTATGACCATCTAATTTGGCTTTTTATTATCCTGTTTTGACATCCCATAGACGGATAGACTTATCATTACTACCAGAAGCTAATGTATTTCCATCAGGAGAGAAACAGACTGAGTAGACAGTACTAGTATGACCATCTAATTTGGCTTTTTATTATCCTGTTTTGACATCCCATAGACGGATAGACTTATCATTACTACCAGAAGCTAATGTATTTCCATCAGGAGAGAAACAGACTGAGTAGACAGTACTAGTATGACCATCTAATTTGGCTTTTTATTATCCTGTTTTGACATCCCATAGACGGATAGACTTATCATTACTACCAGAAGCTAATGTATTTCCATCAGGAGAGAAACAGACTGAGTAGACAGTACTAGTATGACCATCTAATTTGGCTTTTTATTATCCTGTTTTGACATCCCATAGACGGATAGAGTTATCATGACTACCAGAAGCTAATGTATTTCCATCAGGAGAGAAACAGACTGACATAACATAATCACTATGACCATCTAATTTGGCTTATTATTATCCTTTTTCGACATCCCATAGACGGATAGACTTATCATTACTACCAGAAGCTAATTTATTTCCATTAGGAAAGAAACAGACTGAGTAGACAGTGCTAGTATGACCATCTAATTTGGCTTTCTATTATCCTGTTTTGACATCCCAAAGACAGATAGACTTATCATTACTACCAGAAGTTAATGTATTTCCATCAGGAGAGAAACAGACTGAGTAGACAGTGCTAGTATGGCCTTATAATTTGGCTTATTATTATCCTGTTTTTAAATCCCATAGACGGATAGACTAATCACCACTACCAGAAGCTAATATATTTCCATCAAGAGAGAAACAGACTGAGTAGACAGTGTTAGTATGACCATCTAATTTGGCTTTTTATTATCCTGTTTTGACATCCCATAGACGGATAGATTTATCAAGACTACCAGAAGCTAATGTATTTCCATCAGTTAAGAAACAGACTGAGTAGACAGTGCTAGTATGGCCTTATAATTTGGCTTTTTATTATCCTGTTTTGACATCCCAAAGACGGATAGATTTATCAAGACTACCAGAAGCTAATGTATTCCCATCAGTTGAGAAACAGACTGAGTAGACAGCGCAAGTATGACCATCTAATTTGGCTATTTTCTTTCTTATCATAGCATTCCATATTAAGATAGACCCATCAGCACTTCCAGAGGCTAAGTTATTTCCATCAGGGGAGAAACAGACTGATTTAACATTATCAGTTTGACCATTTAATTAGGCTTTTTATTATCCTTTTTTGACATCCCATAGACGAATAGTCTTATCACTACTGCCAGATGCTAATGTATTTCCATTAGGTGAAATACAGACTGAATTCACACAATTACTATGACCATCCAAGTTATTTAATTCATGGATTCTTAAATTTTTCCATTTACAATTTAATAATAATGCTCCATTCAAATTCATCCAACTTATATTAACATTATCAAATTAGGATCCACTTAAATTACAGCGAGCAAAATTACCTCCTACTAAAGAAGTATTTTAGATCTTAATATTTTCCAAATTTTTCTTTCTAAGGTCTACCTTCATCTAAACTAATAAGTGTAATGAATTCGACCCACCCTATATAAATGCTTCATCAATGGATGTGAGGTGAACTAAAAATTACAGTAATTCTTATATCTATTTTTTACCCTTGATGCTTTAAATTAAATTTAGTTTAGATTCTTCATTTTCTTCAGAGATAATGCCTTAGTTATTGAAGTCATGATCTTTTAATTTTTTTAATACATCTGTAATTTAATTTATGTCATTTGCAATAACAGACAATTTTTATTCCGTATCAGCTTGGGTGATATTCTCTACTTGTTGTAAGATTTATGATTCTAATTGTCTCGAATTCTAAATATCTGATAGAAATCCAATGCTGTCTTTCATTTTTTTCTTTCTAAACATTTCTAATAAAACCACAAAGATTCTTATATCTACATCTTTTACTTAATCAAAGATGTCGGCTAGAGCTTCCTACTCTTAAAAAGAGCCTGGCATTTTCTTTTTTACTTTTAATAATTAATTTCTATTACTGAAACTTTAAGTTATAAACTGCAAAATAGATAACAGTATCTTGTGTATTTCTGTAAAGTGAATTCTGCTATTGAGAAATCATCTAAACATATGGATTGCTTACTTCTTAAATCATATGGAATAATTAATTTTTATATGAATAATTTAATTTATACTAATTTTAGTTATATCATTGAATAATTCATATTTCTTTTTTTTCTCCTTTTATAAAGTATGAATAATTGGAATTTTTGAGCATTGTTTAAAGATTAGAATATATCTTATTATTGTAATTAGATTTTGGTTTATATTTGTAGTAAAAATTATGTAAAGTAATCTATTACTTATCAACATCCCAAAACTAACAAACAAACTTACCAAAAAACCCTAGACATCCAAAACTTTAAGGGTTCTCCTATACGGTAGACTCCTAATCAACCCTTTGGCCATAATGCTCTTCTAAAGTAATAGACATCCCTAAACTAACAAAACTAAAAAAAAAACCCAAAACATCCAACCGCTTAGGAGTCATCTCCTAGAAGGTAGAAACCTTTTCACCCTAGGCTGTTGAAAAATAGAAAACTGTTTGTGAATTGAAAACATATATTAGTAAGTAGAAGTTGGTATCAACTGAATATATAGGTGTTAGACATGATGGGCCTAGATTAATGAGAGATAAGGATAGACAATTAAAGAAGTCTCTGATGGAGATCCTTAGAGTCAGGATTATATAATCTGAACCTTATTGATTTTAATTGGAGGAAACTTTCCTTCTTCAGATCAATAAAAAGATCAGAAATAAGAAATAGTGAATTTAATAATCACTCATTTATGTAGAGTTTTACATTAAAAGGATCTGTTGGTTCATGCTATAGTAAACTCATCACCTTCAATCAATTTTGGTAGAATTTAAAAGGACGAGGGTTAATATTAATAGGGAATGGAGGTAAATATTTTTCTAAGGGTTATTAAATTAAATGATTGTTTTTAATTATTTAAGTGCTTGCCAATCTTATTAATTTTTTTCAAACGAAGCATGGGTAGCCCTTAGAGGATGATATTTTGCAATTTTTATGGAATAGAAAATGTGAAGAATTTAGTGAAGATATTGGGAAGAAATAAAACTAAATTTGATAGTTCATTAATAAACTTAATTAATTTAATATCAATAAAATAATAATAAAGAAGCTTATATTATTGTATTTCTGTTTGTGAGTAAATGATATATCAAACTCTTTTCTTCACTATCTCTTGGGAAATTTTTTCTTCTCATAACTACAATCTTGGATGAAGATTTTATATTTTATGCGAGTGTTTATTAATAGATATTTAATCTATAGTTTATAGTCTACTAGTCTGATTCTTCTTGTTCAAATATGCTTGAGGGCTTAAAGATTTAGAACAGAAAAGAGCTATGGATTTAAACATGACTTAACGACCATTATGCTTCACATTACTTACATTTTTTCTAATTATATTTAATGTCTTTCAAGATACCCATTATATGGAAGGTATTTAAACTTATGCGTAAAACTCAGGGGATAGCCGTATTTCTATCTAATCGCAAACTCCCTTTACTAAACTCCATTTTATTTATATGTAAACTATTGCCATCTAAGCCTATAACCAAAAGTATTCCAGACTTCATCTTCATCAATTACTTCAATGAAGGTGTTTTCAGCTAATTTAAGTATGAGCTTAATTGAAGCTCTATACAATTACTTCCATCTCAGTAATTCCCTTAAGAGTAAGTATACAAATTAAAAGATCCTACTAATTTAATCTCCACTTAAAATTTATTGACTTATAATATGAAATTCGAAATAATATTAAAATATTTTAACTTGAGACATATGGTTTTAAACTATAGTATTTATTGAGTAATAAAAATAAGTCCTTAATGATAAGATTGTGTAACCCATTAGATCATCAGAAACACATACTATATTAAGATTTATGGAGGTCAGATAGCTTCCAAATAAATAAGAAATTAGTATGGGCTTAGTTGTTACTCCTAATCCTAATTTTTCAATTAAGATTCCACTTTCGATTTATCAGTTAATTATAAAAATTTTTGATTCATTATTGTATCAATANCAATCAATTTTGGTAGAATTTAAAAGGACGAGGGTTAATATTAATAGGGAATGGAGGTAAATATTTTTCTAAGGGTTATTAAATTAAATGATTGTTTTTAATTATTTAAGTGCTTGCCAATCTTATTAATTTTTTTCAAACGAAGCATGGGTAGCCCTTAGAGGATGATATTTTGCAATTTTTATGGAATAGAAAATGTGAAGAATTTAGTGAAGATATTGGGAAGAAATAAAACTAAATTTGATAGTTCATTAATAAACTTAATTAATTTAATATCAATAAAATAATAATAAAGAAGCTTATATTATTGTATTTCTGTTTGTGAGTAAATGATATATCAAACTCTTTTCTTCACTATCTCTTGGGAAATTTTTTCTTCTCATAACTACAATCTTGGATGAAGATTTTATATTTTATGCGAGTGTTTATTAATAGATATTTAATCTATAGTTTATAGTCTACTAGTCTGATTCTTCTTGTTCAAATATGCTTGAGGGCTTAAAGATTTAGAACAGAAAAGAGCTATGGATTTAAACATGACTTAACGACCATTATGCTTCACATTACTTACATTTTTTCTAATTATATTTAATGTCTTTCAAGATACCCATTATATGGAAGGTATTTAAACTTATGCGTAAAACTCAGGGGATAGCCGTATTTCTATCTAATCGCAAACTCCCTTTACTAAACTCCATTTTATTTATATGTAAACTATTGCCATCTAAGCCTATAACCAAAAGTATTCCAGACTTCATCTTCATCAATTACTTCAATGAAGGTGTTTTCAGCTAATTTAAGTATGAGCTTAATTGAAGCTCTATACAATTACTTCCATCTCAGTAATTCCCTTAAGAGTAAGTATACAAATTAAAAGATCCTACTAATTTAATCTCCACTTAAAATTTATTGACTTATAATATGAAATTCGAAATAATATTAAAATATTTTAACTTGAGACATATGGTTTTAAACTATAGTATTTATTGTACAAAGAAATTTTTTTTTATTTCGGCTAAAATATACATCATGAAAAAAGTTGCACATAATATTGAGTAATAAAAATAAGTCCTTAATGATAAGATTGTGTAACCCATTAGATCATCAGAAACACATACTATATTAAGATTTATGGAGGTCAGATAGCTTCCAAATAAATAAGAAATTAGTATGGGCTTAGTTGTTACTCCTAATCCTAATTTTTCAATTAAGATTCCACTTTCGATTTATCAGTTAATTATAAAAATTTTTGATTCATTATTGTATCAATATATAGTATTTTATAAAGTTAATGTAAGAAGCTATTTTTATCTATAGTATTTATTTATTAATTTATTTATTTGTATAAAAAAATATTAACAATTGATTGTCACTTGTATCCTATTAATTAAATCCTAAGTTTTTCACAAAAAACCTTTTCAATTCTTGATTCAGAAAAAAATAAAGTGGGAGGATATTACATTTTTTTACAATGAACTTCATTCCTAATTATAATTTGTTAAGCAATTTTGGTCATCCAAAAAATTGCTGTTTTTCCTTTAGCAGAGTGATATGGCAAATGGTGAAAAGGTTTCGACCCTTAAGGTGTTGGATGGTTTAGGTTTTTTTTTTTTGTAAGTTTTGGGATGTCTATACTTTAGCAGAGTAATAAGGCCAAAGTGTGAAAAGGTTTCTACCGTCTAGGAGATGACCCCTAAGGTGTTGGATGTTTTGGATGTTTTGGTAAATTTTTTATTTTCCTGTAAAGGTGACAACCTATACTTGAAGGCTCAGACTAAGTTTTATTCATGAATATCAAATCTTGAATACTCTACTTATCCATAATTTAATTTTTAAATTTCAATTCTTTTAGAAAAACACAATTTTATGACAACTATTTATCGAATAATCATAATTAAAATAATAAACAAGGAGTTTTACAACATATTCCTTTCTTCATTTGTTAGCTGAAAAATTACAATTATTTTTCTCTAAAATAGATTAAAAAGGAAAAAGAATGAATCAATAATAGTAATTAAAATAAATAAAAAGATATTTATCCAGATAAAAATTACTTATTCTATATTATTAAGAATCAATCAATGCAAATGTTATCTTGATTTCTCAATAGCATAATTTACCTCTAATATTGCCAATTTCATATCTACACAAAGTTTGAACTTCTATTAAGTATATAACTTAAGTTAGAGTAATAGAAATTCAATATTAAAAATAAAAAAGAAAATGCAAGGCTCTTTTTAAATCTAGGAAGCCATAGCCGAAATATTTAGTTAAGTTAAGGATGTAGAAGAATATATCTTTGGTTTCATGTTAGAGATGTTTAGAAAGGAGAAAATTTAAGATTGCATTGGTTTTCTTTCAGATGGAGGGAATCAAAGATAATTAGAATTATAACTTTTTAAAGATGAAAATCTATAACCTTTTGATATGTGGTGGAAATAAGATGTTGTAAAAAAAAGTATGATGAAAATTAAAAATATTCTCAAATAAATAAAAAATCATTAATTTAATAAGAAAGACTATTCAACAGAAGAATCTATGCAGGATCTAATTAATAGCATAAAGGATAATAGATGGATCAGATATTTTTTGTTATTTTTAGTTCACCTCACATCAATAGATAAAACTTTCGTATAATGTGGGTCTAATTCATTACATATATTAATTTAGATGAAGATAGACCTTAGAAAAAAAAATTTTGAAAATATTAAGATACAAAATACTTCCTTAAAAGGAGCAAATTTTTTTCGATGCAATTTAAGTAGATCTTAATTTAATAATGTAAATATAAGTAGTATGAATTTGAATGGTGCGTTATTATTAAATTGTGAATGGAAGAATATTAAGATTGATGAATTGAATATATTAGATGGCCATAATGATGGTGTGAACTTAGTGTGCTTCTCTCCTGATGGTACTACAGTAGTTACTTGCAGTGGATCTTATTATTTAAGCATTGATAATTCTATCCGTCTATGGGATGTCAAAACAGGCTAATAAAAAGCCAAACTAGATGCTCATACTAACAATGTCGACTCAGTTAGTTTCTCACCTGATGGAACTTTATTAGCTTCTGGGAGTAAAGATAAATATATTATTTTATGGGATGTTTGGACTAAGAAAAAAAGAGCCAAATTAGATGGTCATAGTGGAAATGTCTACTCAGTCTGTTTCTCTCCTGATGGAAATACTTTAGCTTCTGGTAGTCATGATATGTCTATCCGTCTATGGGATGTCAAAACAGGATAATAAAAAGCTTAATTAATTGGTCATAAAAACTCTGTCTATTCAGTCTGTTTCTCTCCTGATGGAAATACATTAGCTTCAGGTAGTGATGATTAATCTATTCGTCTATGGGATGTTCAAACAGGAAATCAAAAAGCTTAATTTGATGGTTATAAAAACTCTGTCTATTCAGTCTATTTCTCTCCTGATGGTAATACATTAGCTTCTGGTAGTGCTGATAATTGTATCCGTTTATGGGATGTCAAAACAGGATAATAAAAAAATAAATTAGATGGCCATACAAACTCTGTCTATTCAGTGTGTTTCTCTCCTGATGGAAATCTATTAGTCTCTGGTAGTTCTGACAAGTCTATCCGTTTATGGGATGTTGAAACAGGAGATTAAAAAGCTTAAATAGATGGTCATACTAACGAAGTCAAATCAGTTAGTTTCTCAACTGATGGAAATTTATTAGCTTCTGGTAGTTCTGACAAGTCTATCCGTTTATGGGATGTGTGGACTAAGATAAAAAAAACCAAATTAGATGGTCATACTAGCACTGCATATTCAGTTTGCTTCTCTCCTGATGGTAATACATTAGCTTCTGGTAGTGATGATAAGTCTATCCGTCTTTGGGATTTCAAAACAGGATAATAAAAAGCTAAATTAATTGGTCATACAAACTCTGTCTATTCAGTCTGTTTCTCTCCTGATGGAAATCTATTAGCCTCTAGTAGTTCTGACAAGTCTATCCGTTTATGGGATGTTGAAACAGGAAATTAAAAAGCTTAAATAGATGGTCATGCTAGCCCTGTCTACTCAGTCTGCTTCTCTCTTGATGGATCTACATTAGCTTCTTGTAGTGATGATTAATCTATTCGTCTATGGGACGTTCAAACAGGAAATAAAAAAGCTTAATTTGATGGTCATACAAACTCTGTCTATTCAGTCTATTTTTCTTCTGATGGTAATACATTAGCTTCTGGTAGTGCTGATAATTGTATCCGTTTATGGGATGTCAAAACAGGATAACAGAAAGCTAAATTTGATGGTCATGCTAGCACTGTCCATTCAGTTTGTTTCTCTCCTGATGGAAATACATTAGCTTCAGGTAGTTCTGACAAGTCTATCCGTCTTTGGGATGTAAAAACAGCACAATAAAAAGCTTATTTAGATGGTCATGCTAGCACTGTCTACTCAGTTTGTTTCTCTCCCGATGGAAATACATTAACTTCTTGTAGTAGTGATTACTCTATCCGTCTATGGAATGTCAAAACAGGATAATTTCAAGCTAAATTTGATGGTCATACTAGTTATGTCTACTCAGTCTGTTTCTCACCTGATGGAAAAACATTAACATCTTGTAGTAAAGATAACTCTATTCGTTTATGGAATGTAGAGACTAAGTTAAAAAATACAAAATTAGATAGTCATTCTAGCACTGTCTACTCAGTTTGCTTCTCTCCGGATGGTAATACATTAGCTTCGGGTAGTGATGATAAATTTATCCTTTTATGGGATATCAAAACAGGATAACAGAAAGCTAAATTCGATGGTCATGCTAGCACTGTCCATTCAGTTTGTTTCTCTCCTGATGGAAATACATTAGCTTCAGGTAGTTCTGACAAGTCTATCCGTCTTTGGGATGTAAAAACAGCATAATAAAAAGCTTAATTAGATGGTCATGCTAGCACTGTCTACTCAGTTTGTTTCTCTCCCGATGGAAATACATTAGCTTCTTGTAGCAATGATAAGTCCATCCGACTATGGAATGTCAAAACACAATAATTTAAAGGAAAATTAGATGGTCATGCTAGTACTGTTTTTTAAGTCTCTTTCTCCCCTGATGGAAATATATTAGCTTCTTGTAGTAATGATAAGTCCATCCGACTATGGAATGTCAAAACACAATCATTTAAAGCAAAATTAGATGGTCATGCTAGCACTGTTTTTTCAGTCTCTTTCTCCCCTGATGGAAATATATTAGCTTCTTGTAGCCATGATCAGTCCATCCGATTATGGAATGTCAAAACACAATAATTTAAATCCAAATTAGATGGTCATGTTAGCACTGTCAACTCAGTTTGTTTTACCCCTGATGGAAATACATTAGCTTCTGGTAGCTATGATTACTCTATCCGTCTTTGGGAAGTCACAACAGGATAATAAAAAGCCAAATTAGATGGTCATGCTAGCATTGTCAACACAGTCTGTTTCTCACCTGATGGAAATAAATTAGCTTCTGGTAGTTGTGATTACTCTATCCGACTATGGGATGTGAAGAATATGATAAAAAAGACTAAATTAGATTGTCAAACTAGCAGTGTCTACTCAATCTAATTCTCTCCTGATGGTAATACATTAGCATCTAGTAGTAGAGATAAGTCTATTCGTTTATGGTATGTCACAACAGGATAATAAAAAGCTTAATTAAATGGCCATACTGGATATGTCTATTCAACTTGTTTTTCACCTGATGGAAATACATTAGCTTCAGGTAGTGGTGATTTTTCTATCCGTCTATGGGATTTCTAAACAGGATTACAAAAAGCAAAATTGGATGGTCATGAGAATTGGGTAATGTCGGTCTGTTTCTCTTCTGATAGAAATACATTAGCATCTAGTAGTAAAGATAAGTCTATTCGTTTATGGGATGTCGCAACAGGATAATAAAAAGCTAAATTAGATGGTCATACAAACACTGTCTACTCAGTCTGTTTCTCTCCTGATGGAAATACGTTAGCTTCAGGTAGTGATGATTAATCTATTCGTCTATGGGAAGTTAAAACACGATAATAAAAAGCTAAATTAGATGGTCATACCAACTCTGTTTATTCAGTCTGTTTCTCTCCTGATGGAAATATATTAGCTTCAGGTAGTTCTGACAAGTCTATCCGTCTTTGGGATGTAAAATAAGCACAATAAAAAGCTTATTTAGATGGTCATGCTAGCACTGTCTACTCAGTTTGTTTCTCTCCCGATGGGAATACATTAACTTCTGGTAGTGGTGATTACTCTATCCGTCTCTGGGATGTCACAACAGGATAATAAAAAGCTAAATTAGATGGTCATACAAACACTGTCTACTCAGTCTGTTTCTCTCCTGATGGAAATACATTAGCATCATGTAGTGATGATATGGAAATTCGTCTATGGGAAATAAAGAGAGAATAAGAAATGAATTCCTGTGATAAAATTTACAATAATATGTTCATAAATATTAGGACTGCACTACAATAAATTACCCCTTATTCAGAAGGTAGTATGATTTTTTCTATATTTTTAGTCTCTAATTATATAACTACAGTCCTTATATCCTAAAAGTCAATATTTTAATCTAAAGGAGCTTTAATACTGAATGGAGAGTTTATAAATCAGTCAGGCATTGATTTAAAAACATTATTTCAAAAAAAAGGAAGTTATTTTTTGGAAAGCTTATCTAAAAATTTAATTTGATAGATATCAACATAAATACAACAAAAATTTTTTATATTTTTTAACTAAGTCTTTATCAGTTCCGCTCTCATCTTTACTACTTAAGATAGATAAGTAAAAGTTTTTACAAGGATTTTCCATTTATTTAAATTAGTGTAGGGAATATTTAATGATGTGCCTGTAAAGCTGTTATTAATTAATATCTATAGAGATTAAAAGCTAAATGATACTAAAATTAAAGAAATAATTGACATATATTTTAAAAGACAACACTTAGCACAACAAGGACTCTAAAAAAGGTGCGTAATAATTATTCAAGGAAAATTAATAGTAAATTAACACAAGTCATTCTTTTAAATCATCTAGGATTATATGATAGGTTTGCTTAATTTAGTACTATTTATAAAAGGGATTGGTATTAAAAGTTATAATTAATAGTTTAAAAGTTATTTTTTGTTCATAAATGTAAAGATATATTTAATAACAAAAATTATTAAAAGATATGCCAATAATTAAAAAAAAATAAAGTTTATCCATGAATTAACTTAAACTATAAAAAAGTTAAAACTATTAAATTTAATAATACCTTTTATTATTTATATTTAGATATAAAAGTATATATAAAATATTGTAAAGATTAATTAATGATCAATAAGTATTATATGCCAAAAAGGATTAAGACTTAAGGATATATTTATATCTACCCTAAATTATAATTAGAAGAAATAACATTTCCACTTATCTTATTACTGATGATTATTGACTTAATGCTACATTCAAAGAAACTTTCAACAACACTTTGAATATCTTTAAATATTAAACATTCATAAATTTCTGACATAATGTATNCCGATGGGAATACATTAACTTCTGGTAGTGGTGATTACTCTATCCGTCTCTGGGATGTCACAACAGGATAATAAAAAGCTAAATTAGATGGTCATACAAACACTGTCTACTCAGTCTGTTTCTCTCCTGATGGAAATACATTAGCATCATGTAGTGATGATATGGAAATTCGTCTATGGGAAATAAAGAGAGAATAAGAAATGAATTCCTGTGATAAAATTTACAATAATATGTTCATAAATATTAGGACTGCACTACAATAAATTACCCCTTATTCAGAAGGTAGTATGATTTTTTCTATATTTTTAGTCTCTAATTATATAACTACAGTCCTTATATCCTAAAAGTCAATATTTTAATCTAAAGGAGCTTTAATACTGAATGGAGAGTTTATAAATCAGTCAGGCATTGATTTAAAAACATTATTTCAAAAAAAAGGAAGTTATTTTTTGGAAAGCTTATCTAAAAATTTAATTTGATAGATATCAACATAAATACAACAAAAATTTTTTATATTTTTTAACTAAGTCTTTATCAGTTCCGCTCTCATCTTTACTACTTAAGATAGATAAGTAAAAGTTTTTACAAGGATTTTCCATTTATTTAAATTAGTGTAGGGAATATTTAATGATGTGCCTGTAAAGCTGTTATTAATTAATATCTATAGAGATTAAAAGCTAAATGATACTAAAATTAAAGAAATAATTGACATATATTTTAAAAGACAACACTTAGCACAACAAGGACTCTAAAAAAGGTGCGTAATAATTATTCAAGGAAAATTAATAGTAAATTAACACAAGTCATTCTTTTAAATCATCTAGGATTATATGATAGGTTTGCTTAATTTAGTACTATTTATAAAAGGGATTGGTATTAAAAGTTATAATTAATAGTTTAAAAGTTATTTTTTGTTCATAAATGTAAAGATATATTTAATAACAAAAATTATTAAAAGATATGCCAATAATTAAAAAAAAATAAAGTTTATCCATGAATTAACTTAAACTATAAAAAAGTTAAAACTATTAAATTTAATAATACCTTTTATTATTTATATTTAGATATAAAAGTATATATAAAATATTGTAAAGATTAATTAATGATCAATAAGTATTATATGCCAAAAAGGATTAAGACTTAAGGATATATTTATATCTACCCTAAATTATAATTAGAAGAAATAACATTTCCACTTATCTTATTACTGATGATTATTGACTTAATGCTACATTCAAAGAAACTTTCAACAACACTTTGAATATCTTTAAATATTAAACATTCATAAATTTCTGACATAATGTATAATCACTGTTACCTTCAAGATGATTTTAATCAGTAATTTATATCAAGATAAAATATCCCACATCACTTCTTAGCATTTGTAAACTGAATTCTATGATGAACTCATCAACCAGTCAAATTTACATTAAGATGAATATTAATCAATTATCAAAGATTATTAAATAATTTAAACCAAATCTATTGACCAAATTGATAAAAAAGAAAAAAGGAATCAATGATGGTATTGTTCCACATTTGAATACTTCATAATTGATAGTGTTAAAATAATTTAGTATTCTTTACAAATGAATCAATCCCATTCAATCTTAGATTAATTGAATGAGAAATTTATTGACAAACTGAATAAAAAATAGGAAATTAGTGAATCCTATCAATATGTCCATGTATGTATGTGTATATTTCTTAATGAAAAAATATCATTCTTTGATTATTTAAAAATTTTAATTTTTCATTGACTTTAATAATTACTTTTTATAAATATTTGTAAGTAGCAATTATTATTTTGCATTATTAACTATTTGAAAGATTATTATTTATTTATTATAAACTCGTTAAAGAGTTAATTTTGCGATCAAGGATATCTATCATCATTTGACTATTTCATAACCTTGAAAATTTTATGAAAACCTTAAATGTATTGTCAACTCAATTAAATTGTTAATTCAAATTGGAAAATTAGTAAAGCTAGATTATGTAATGATTTTCTTGTTGGAATTTTAATTTAATGTGCTATGCCAATGTGTCCAGCTCCTATGAACATTTGTAAATCTATATTTTATACGGATATTGTTAACATAAATCAACCTAAATTATCAAGTGTTTAAAATTTGACATTTTCAATTTTTGAAAACTTTTTGTTTCACAATAAATGTCAAGCAAAGTTATGATTATTTTTGATTTCTTTCTCTTCCATCATATACATATATATTAGACCCAGATGTCAAATCAGAACATAATCATGCAGAAAAAAGTTTATTTCCTAGTTGTATCAAAGGAAAGATTTTTTTCAACCATCAAGACGCTAATTTGTTGTTATAAATGATCATTACTATTCTTGAAAGCCGTCATCATTGTTCATAACTTAGTCAATTGATTATAAAATCTGAAATGCACATCTTGATATCATAAGCATTTTTTTTCAGGCTCACGATATGTATATGCCTTGCAAAGTTCTGATAATTATTTAAATAAGGTAATCTACCTACTATATTTGAAAAAGTAAAAATAATAAATTACATTGTATTTCAAAATAATTTATCATTTAGAATTGATTTCACTAAGTAGGCAAAGCGGAATCAAAAAAGCAAAATTTATATTCCAGTCAACTGATCATATTCAAAATCTTATAAGAAGATCCTCTTTTATACAAACACTGTCTGATAACCACATCAAAAATGATTTATGATTAAGAAATTGAGGATAAATCACTAGCATTGATTAAAGATATCAAGCATATATATCCTTGTAAATGTAGCAATCTGAAAGCTCAATTAAAAATATCTAATATTTAAAAAATAGAATATGTCGCTTGAGAGAGATATAAAAAATTATCTAATGTTCTCAAATATAATACTAAATGTCTAAAAATTATATGTAAAATAAATAAATTAATTAATGTAACATATGATGTTTATATATAAAATATTGATTTATTTATTAGTTTCAAAATCAGATGGATGCAAAATATCTGGGATTTTATACACACGTAAATCTTTTCCTGCAAATAATGTGATTGTTTCATTCAAATAAAGTCAAACTATTAGTAATAAATAAGGAGAATTTGAATTAGAAATAGAATCAAATTAAGTACAAGGAGAGCTAAGTTTTAATATTGCAAATTAATTCACAATGTAAATGGAAATAAACAGATTAAATTGCCCAATCAATTTGGGAAGAATATTATTGGATAATAAAGAAAGTGTGTAAACAAGTATTACAGGTTGTGTAATAAAAAGGGATAATTTATAATCAGTTTCTGATACCATTGTAAGCATTATTTATGATTAACCTACTCTTTTGGATATATAAGAAATTAAAACAGGAAAGGATGGTTGTTTTTTGGCTTAAAATAAATTAATGAAATTGTTGATATATCAAGCATCAATATCAATCAATTTGTAGGGTTACTTTGAATAATTATTTGTTGTTTAACTATTTGATTAATATATTGCAGACCTTGGATAAATTTACATGAATCCCAATTATTATATTGTTAATTTGTAAGTTAATATCAACAGAAATTGCTAATAAAATTAGACAAAGGCTTAGAATTCAATTGCTATGTAAATTTCATTTTCATGCGGTTGCGAATACAAGGATTAATTTATGACATAAAAGGACATCAATTTTATTTAATTAGATAAGGCTTTTAAAGATGGATTTGAGTACACATGTGGTATAATGGTAATGAATCCAAATTGTGGAATATTGTTTTCTGTTATTAAAGTGAAAGAGAAGGCTAATTTGACAACTGATTTAAATTTCAGTCCTCAAGAGATAAAGCAGAAGGTATTATCAAGTACAAAATTCACTGGTAGAGTGTTAGAAATGCAAAGTTTATCATGCACAAATCAATAATCAGATTCAATAGAGGGTGTAAAGATATTATATTATATCGAATTCACATCGAAATAATTAATAAATTCCACATCGAGTGATAAAGAAGGCTATTTCAATTTGTATGCTGAGAATCCATTGATTAATGGGTAGTTTAATGGAATATTTATGTTTTAGAAGGATGGGTATTTGTCAAATGAGGTAGACATCACTTACAACACTATGAATAAAGATTAAGAATATCCTATAGGAACAATACAATTGATAAATATGAGTGGATTAAAGGAATGTTGATTTATTTCTGAATTATTTAAGATAATCATTTATTTTTTTTTGCATCCTTCTCCCAACTTGGAACATATCTGACAGGGAATCTTGATGAGGAATGATTGGTTTAAAATATTCTATCACATACACCCCATATTCCATAATTGCAGGTAACATAAAAATGGTGATTGATATGTCCAAAAGGATCCCATCTTCCATCATGAGCAGCTTGGGCATAAATAGCAGTCAAAAAACCAAAAAAGCTAATTGTAGCATTATTTAATATACTGATGCCAAACTGGAGGGATTGGATAGAAAAGACATGGGAAGAAATGCCCTAAAGGGCCTTATACGATAGCTTCAATTGGGTGGACTGCATCTTACGCAAATGCAGTAGGTTCAATAAATTCATGATGTTATTTGTGAATGTATTTCCAAAAGAATGGTTGGTGAAGTATGATATGAGTGACATAAAAGTAGAAATCGAATCCTATGGAATATCTTATGATATAGTATGAAAAAGATACACAAAAAGTCCAATGAGCCATTCTTTTAATCCAAAATCATGTGTTTCATAATAACCATAATATGGTGTTAGTGGTTCGATTTTCCACATGAATATGGTTGCTGACAGTAAAACCCAAAATAAGGCTTAGACTCCTCTACTTATTTCAAGTTTCATGTTTTTCATTCTGAAAGATGATTTTGGTATTGGGTTAGTGAATTCTAGAGCAGCTCCTGTAGCCAAATATGAAAAGTAGTAGAAAAGGCTAATTTGAAATATTGTTGATAATACCCTACATAAAGATTGGCCCATAAAAAGTCTTCAAAAGTATCAATGATCAACACCCTAGTTTTGGTATTTGGAGGTAATTTGAGACCAGGTAACATAGTAGCGTATTAATGAATATTGAATGCATAGCAGGTAGTCAATAGTAAGGAAATTATGCAAATTTGAAATACAACTTTCATTAAAATAAAATATTGCACAAATTAAATCATAAATCAGTTTTTGTATCATCAGCATCAGCATCATCTTCATTCTCTTTATTTTCATCTTTCTTCTTTTAGGCTTCTTGAATAATTGGATCACAAACTCTACATTGTTAAAACAAATCAATTACTTTTATAAATCTTTCAATTCTCCTTCGAAATCTTCTTTATCATAATTTGCTTCATCTTTCTTAATCCATTCTTCACTCTTTTGAACAGCATCTTTCAAGGTTTGTTTTTATTCTTCTGTTAAGTGTTTGGCTAATTTTTTCTAAAAATGATTATAAATAAGAAATACCTCATCTTCAATTTAGTTTTTGATGGAATAAATGTAAGAATCCAAACTATTCTTGGCATC